TAATTATTGAAGTGTTACAGAAATTTAATTTTCTGTGTGGAATTAATTTTGTTAAATAAATTTTATTTTATTTTCAAATTAATTGGAAATAAAAGTTACATTCTTGTTTCTTTTATTTTTACAGAATTTCATTCTGTGAATTTGGATTAATTTTCTGTGCAGTATAAAATTCTAATTATAATTTTGTTTTATAATTTAGAATTCATGGCTGCTGAAACAAATGCTCAAATGAGTACTGGTATGGTGGTTGCAATTGCGCCAACCCCCTCTCCTGTTGTGACAGTACCGGTAAATCACGGTGAGAAGCCAGAGAAGTTTTCTAGAACTAATTTTAAAAGATGGTAGCAGAAAATGCTGTTCTATCTTACAACTCTGAACCTGGCTCGTTTTCTCCGTGAGAATGCTCCTACTCTAAACGAGGATGAAACTGACCGGCAAGTGGCTGTTGCGGTCAATGCCTGAAAACATGCTGATTTCCTTTGCCGGAACTACATCTTGAACGGACTTGACAACACATTATACAATGTCTACAGTCCTATCAAAACAGCAAAGGAACTTTGGGAGTCTTTGGAAAAAAAGTACAAAATGAAAAATGCCAGCTCAAAAAAATTTGTGGTTGGCAAATTCTTGGATTTTGTGATGGTTAATTCTGAGACTGTGATCAGCCAAGTTCAAGATCTCCAACTTATTCTGCATGACATTCACGCAGAAGGCATGTCTCTCAGTGAATCTTTCCAAGTTGCAGCCTTAATTGAGAAATTATCACAAGGCTGGAAGGAATTCAAGAACTACCTCAAACACGAGCGCAAAGAAATGTCTTTAGAGGAATTAATTGTTCGTTTGAGAATTGAGGAGGACAATCGCAATTCAGAGAAGCGGGCTGGTAAGCATCCAATGGAGTCTAAGGCAAATGTGGTGGAACATGCTCCAAAAGCAAAGAAACGGAAATTTTTTGGAGAAAGTTCATCACAAGGCTCTAAAGGGGGGAAACTAAAAAGTACAAGTTTAATGGAAAGTGTTACATCTGTGACAAAGAGGGACATCGAGCCAAACATTGCCGTAGCAAAGGCAAAAGTAAAAGAAGAACAAGCAAGAAGCCTGCTCAAGCCCATATGACCGAAGTGGACAATATTTCTAATGGTGTAGATGACATCAATCTTTCTGCAGTTGTTTCCGAGACAAATCTTGTTGGAAATCCTAAGGAATGATGGGTGGACACTGGTGCTACTCGCCACATTTGTGCCGACAAAATGATGTTCACATCTTATTCTACAGTGGACAATGGTGAACAACTTTTTATGGGTAACTCCTCAACTTCCAAATTGAAGGATAAGGAAAGATTGTACTTAAGATGACATCTAGAAATGAACTCACTCTCAACAATGTGCTCCATATACCGGACATTCGCAAGAATCTTGTTTTCGGATCTTTGTTGAGTAAAAATGAGTTTAGGCTAGTTTTTGAAAGTGACAAGCTTGTACTTACCAAAAATAGGATGTATATAGGAAAATGTTACATGCCTGATGGGCTTTTCAAAATAAATGTAATGACTATTGTATCCTCTGTTATTAATAAAAATACATCTTCTTCTTACTTGCTTGAGTCTTCAAATTTATGGCATGGTAGACTTGGACATGTTAATTATGGATATTTGCATAGATTAATTAATATGGAATGTTTACCTAAATTTGACATTGATTCAAATCATAAATGTGAAATTTGTGTTGAGGCAAAATTATCCAAAACTCCTTTTTATTCAATTGAAAGAAGTACAGAACCACTTGAATTAATTCATAGTGACATTTGTGATTTCAAATCAATTCAAACTAGAGGTGGGAAAAAGTATTTTATCACTTTTATAGATGACTGAGAGGGAGATTTCTGATCTGGAATTGGGCCGAGGCAACGGCCGAGCAGGTTGAGAGCCTAATGGTGCATGGGGCCGAGATGACCGGCGATCCGCCCGGAGATGGGCTGCCAGGATTTGGGCCGGGCAGGAGTTGGGCCAAGTATGTGCCGTCCTAGACCGTAAAGAAGCTGCTCGGCAAGGCAGTGCTCGGTTGGAACGAGCTGCTTGATCAGGCGATGGTGGAGCCAGTCAAGCTGAGTGACCGGCGTCCGGAAAGGCGTGGTCAGCCGAGGTAATCGTTTGATCGGCAGGAAGGCCGACCACAGGAGGTGCCCCGGGCTAGGCTTTGCCGAGATGCCGCCTAGCCCGGTCCTCCTTGGGCTTAGCCAGTGAAGTGCTTGGGTATGAAGCATAGCACGGCCGTGGATAGAGAAGCTCGGCTGCTGAGCTCCAGCTGAGAAGGCAGGCAGTTGAGATTAGGTGATGTTCAGCAAGGTTTGTGCTAACAGTTGGGATAGCGGAGCCACGTGTCAGGAGATGACTGGGAGTGGATATGGGGCGCAGAGGGTATATAAGCATGTCTGCGCCCCTCATACACAAAAGACGAACATTCTGTAAGGAATTCCTACACTCCAACACTCTTCGCTTTCTCTCTTTATCCTAAGGTGTGTGCTAACTTGACCGTCGGAGGGGTTTTCCGGCCACACACCGCTGGGTAGCTCACCGTTACTTGCTCGCAAGTGATCGGACAGAAACGGAGCTCGGAAGAAAGGAGTACGGGCTTGCCGGAATATTTGCTCCCCGTACAATTGGCGCCGTCTGTGAGAAGTTTGACAGACAAAACCTTGTCTTCCAGGCTCGTCTGATCGCCGTCCATGGCGAACAACGATGCGTTTCCGTTGTCTTCCATAGACGGAGCCACACCGGAGTTCACCCGAAGGAGAGAAGGCCCTCCCGCCATCCATCCAATGGCAGACTTGGGGACGCCTACCGGAGGACAGTCAGGAAACGCGCGGGATAAGCGCGGAAGAAGTCATGGTCATTCACGGAGTCCAGACGGTCACCGGCGGAGGAGAGACTCACACGCCAGACATCTGGAAAATAAGTTGAGGGACCAAGACGCTGTCATCCGGCGAATGGCGGCGGAGATGGAGGATCTGAAGCGGCATGTCAAAGGTAAAGGTGTAGCTGGAGTGGGTGACCACAGTGAGTGCACCCCATCCCGCCGTCCAAGCGGTCAGAGTCAGCGACGCACTCAGTCCATATCTATTACCAGAAGTTACTAGGTCGGCGATTCCGACGCGTATGTAGAAAAGTCTAGCGCGCAAGACAGCACCTACAAACCCTCACGTCCGGTGACGATGTCGAGGTACTCTTACACCGCTCATTCAGAGGATTTGCGAGCAGTCTTAAAGGAACGGGCTCGCCGGCGCGAAGCTTAGAGGATACCGGCGTTCCAGCGGCTATCCTATGGGGTTCACGCCAGCGAGGAGGTCGGAATGCCTCCACCCCGCCAAGCAGTGCCACTCTTTGAAGATACGGACTTGGCCAGGCTGAGTGCCACCCCTTTTTCCCTGGAAATAGAAACAACACCGCTTCCGGCAGGCTTCTACCAGCCTAAGTTCACACTCTACGACGGAAAAACTGATCCTTACATGCATGTGAGCCACTTCCGACCGGTTATGGCCGGACATAGGCGAAATGACGGACTCATGTGCTTAATCTTCCCATCAAGTTTAGGTGAACTGGGCTTAAAGTGGTTCGAGAGGTTGCCGGAAAGGAGCATACAAAGGTGGCATCAGTTGGCCGAGGCGTTTGTTACACGCTTCAAAACCAACACAAAAACACCAAAGGAAGTCGATCACTTACTAAGTGTCAAGATGGAACCGGGCGACACACTGAAGGCATACAACTCAAGGTATTGGGAAACCTTCAACGAGATCTTGGATTGCCCGGGCAACCTTGCAATCACTCAATACAAGCGTGGTCTCCCTGTCGGACATAGATTGCGGGACTCGCTCACCATGCACCAACCGACCTCCATGGGCCAGCTCATGCAGCGGATCAATGAGCACATTCGAGTAGAGGATGATGCGTCAGCCTCTACCGTGAAGTCAACTCCGGTAGCAACAGACAAGAAGACAGCAGCAAAGTGCACGCAGTTGGGCTAGAGTCCAGCCGCTCAAGTGACAGAGCAGAGGAATCAGACCGTGGCTCGAATCGTAAGAACCGAGGTAGAGGACGTCGGAACGACCGGGATGACTACACCCGAGATGATGTTGCGGATACCAACAGAAGATTGAAGGCAAAAACTAGCATCACTACGGTCTTCAAGATTCCGATTTATCGCATACTTAGTGAAATCCGAGACGAGGAGTATGTCCGGTTTCCTGCTAAGTTGGGCGATGGACAGAAGGGCTACAATCCGCGGTATCGTTGTACATTCCACCGGGAGAGGGACCACCGGACTGAGGATTGTTTGCCTTTGAGGCAACACTTAGAAGAGCTGGTCGCGGCCAGGCATCTAGACCTTTACATTGATGGCGGCGTAAAACCGAATCAGGCTCCGGACGATCCCAGGGGACAGGATGACCGAGACGCGCCACCACAAGGAGTTATTAATGTCATCCATGGCATCGTGGAACCGGAGCGTGTTTGCGAACTCCGGGGCATGATAAAAAGGGCAGAGCATATGAGGGAAGTTTTGTCGGTACAGCCTGCCATCAAAAGAGAGAAGACTGAAGAAAGAGACGCGATTAGTTTCACCTCAAGGGATCTAGAGCATATCCAGATGCCGCACAACGATGCCCTAGTAGTAACACTACGCGTCAGGGAATTTGATGTTAAACGGATCTTGATCGATCAGGGAAGCTCGGTTGAGATCATGTATTTTGATGCGTTCAAGCAGCTTAAACTTCGAGAGACAGACTTGGCTCCGGCAACTTCGCCACTGGTTGGTTTCAACTCGCAGCCGGAGTGGCCCTTGGGAAAGATTATCCTGCCGGTCAAAGCGGGATCCGTGGTGAAGCAAGTGGAGTTTTGGGTGCTACAAGTGCCTTCGACGTACAACCTTATCCTTGGAAGGGGATCGCTTCACGCTATGCAAGCTGTAGCGTCGACCTACCACCAGGTGATGAGATTCCCCTCGGCTATGGGGGCAATCGAGGAGATCTGGGGGGATCAAGTCATGTCCAAACAGTACTTCGTAGCGGTGAACGGCAGCCGGGCTGCCAAAGGGTTCGTGCAAATGGTAGAAGGACCGGAAGACCGAGGAGTTCTAGAGGATGTGGGCACTAAGGCAGAGGACAAAGCTGTGGAGGACCTGGTTGAGGTGCGACTCGATATAGAGCAGCCGGATAAGTTCTTCCTGCTCGGTTCCAGCCTTACTGCCCAAGAGAGAACCGAGATGGTTGAGTTTTTGATTGCCAACATCGAAGTCTTCGCATGGTCGCCTTATGACATGCCCGACCTCGATCCAAGTTTTATCTGCCATCACCTCAACGTCTTCCCTGGAGCAAAGCCAGTCATCCAGCGAACAAGGAGATCGGCATTGCATCATGCCGAGGTAGTTGCAGAGGAGGTGAAGAACCTGCTTGAGGCACGAGCAATTCAGGAAGTGCACTACCCTCGGTGGATTTCCAACACAGTAGTGGTGCCCAAGAAGAATGGAAAGTGGCGAGTTTGTGTCGACTATAAGACAGTCAACCGAGCTTGTCCCAAAGATAGCTTCCCTTTGCCGCGAATTGACCAACTTGTGGACTTGATGGCTGGACATAATACGCTCAGTTTCTTGGATGCCTACCACGGCTACCATCAGATCGCCATGCATGGGCTTGACTGAGAGATCACCTCTTTCACGACTCCAAGGGGACTCTTCTGCTGCCGAGTCATGCCTTTTGGTTTGAAGAACGCCGGGGCAACCTTTCAGAGGATGGTGACCAAAATGTTTGCTCCTTTGCTTGGCCGAACAATGGAGGCTTACATCGATGATATGGTGGTAAAGAGCCGACATGAGGCAAACCATTTGTCTGACTTAGCCGAGATGTTTGCCATTCTAAAGAAGCACAAGCTGCGCTTGAATGCGTCAAAATGTGCCTTTGGCGTGGGATCCGGAAAATTTTTGGGGTTCCTAGTCATGAACCGAGGCATCGAAGTAGACCCTACTCAGATCAGAGCCGTGCAAGAGTTGAAGCAGCCCAGCTCGGTTAAGGACGTGCAGTACCTGGCCGGGATGGCCGCCGCGCTTAATCGGTTTATAAGTCGGTCATCAGATCGCTGCTGCCCTTTCTTTCAAGCTTTGAAGTCAAAGTTCTCGTGGGACGAAGAGTGCGATCGAGCTTTGGCCGAGCTCAAGGAATATCTGTCTACTCTGCCACTGTTGGTTACACCAAAGCCGGGTGAGGAACTCTACCTTCACCTTGCCGTCTCCCAGCACGCAGTCAGTGCGGTGCTAGTCCGAGCTGAAGGAATCAAGCACCTCCCAATTTTTTATGTCAGCAAAACTTTGTTACCGGCAGAGTCGAGATACTTGCCGTTGGAGAAGCTTGCTTTAGCCTTGATGATGGCTTCAAGAAAATTGGCGCACTATTTCCACGCCCATACCATTGTCGTACTGACTGAGTTTCCCCTTAAGGCCTTGTTTGAACGGGCGGACTTTTCAGGCCGAATTCTCAAGTGGGCGGTCGAATTGGGACAGTTTGATGTAAAGTTCCAACCGCGCACAGCCATAAAGGCCCAAACTTTGGCCGATTTCGTTGCTGAATTCTCGCTAGGAACTCATCCGGTATGCCTGGTCGATATTGCCGCGGCCGAAGAAGGGACTGCAAGCCTGACCAAGATACCACAATTGGGTAGAGTTGTCGACGCGGAATTTGCGCGCCCCACCGTAGTACCCTCAACTTGTACAATTCAACCAACCGGTGACGCGATGACGGAGTCGGATATTGTTGTCCTACCCACTCTGTCCGGTACCGCGTCGTCAGAGGGTGAAGTGATGGAACTACTCAGCACAGAGCCTGCGGCCGACATAATACCGCAACCAAGTGATTCGCCTACGGACTTAAGCATTGTAGACCGACTTGCTGAGTCCGGTGCCGAATCACCAAGGGGGGCTGGAGTGGAACCAATCAACACGGAACTTGAAACCAGACAGCCAAGAAACTGTGATCCCATTGCCCTTCGTAACTCTCAGGACCCATCAGACTGTTGGAAGCTTTTTGTGGGGGAAATGTGGAAGCTTTTTGTTGATGGAGCGTCCAACCGTCATGGTGCCGGCCTAGGTATCGTTCTTAACTCCCCGGATGGCCTAACCATTGAACATTCTATCACGCTTGGCTTCCCAGCATCTAACAACGAGGCTGAGTACGAGGCCCTTCTCGCCAGGCTCAAGAGCACTATTCAAATGAAGGCTGCCGAGCTATTAGTGTACAGTGATTCCCAGCTTGTGGTTAACCAAGTCTCTGGGATTTACGAAGCAAAGGATGATAGAATGGCGAAGTACCAAGCTCTGGTCAGGGCGCACATCAAGCAGTTTCAGGCAATCAGAGTCCAACAGATTGGCTGTGAAGAAAACAGCCGAGCTGATGAATTGGCCGGCCTCGCGTCGATGGTAGATAGTAGGTCTCCAAACCCCCTGTTAATTGACTTTCTTCCACAGCCAAGCATTGAAGACACCGGGCAGACGGATCTACTCTGCGCCGCGCTAGGTCCTTCCTGGATGGACCCCTTAATCTTGTTCCTTAGAGACCAGACTCTACCAACTAACAAGAAAGAAGCACACAAAGTCCGGGTGAAGTCAGAGCGGTTTTGGCTCTCTCCATCTGGTGCGTTGTATAAAAATTCCTTCACTGGTCCTTATCTAAAATGTGTGCACCCGAGTAGTGTGGAGGCCTTCTTGTACGAAATTCACGAAGGGATTTGTGGCAACCACATAGGGGGTAGGTCCTTGGCCTACCGAGCTATTTCGCAGGGATACTGGTGGCCGTGCATGCAGGCCGACGCACAAAAGTACGTCCGCAAGTGCGAAAAATGCCAGAAATTCGCCCATCAGATCCATCAGCCTGCTAGGGAACTTCTTCCCCTCACCAATCCTTGGCCCTTCGCCATGTGGGGGCTAGATATAGTGGGACCACT